CTTGGGGATTGAAGTTGCAAGATCCAAGCATGGGATCTTCATTTCACAAAGTATGTACTTGACTTACTATGGGAGACTGGGAAGCTGGGGACCAATCCAGCAGACACTCCTATTGATCCAAATCACAGAATTAATGGTGTTGATGGTGAGTTGGTAAAGGATGTGGGGAGATATCAAAGAATGGTGGGTCGACTGCTGTATTTGTCTATGACACGACCAGATATTTCTTATGTTGTCAGTGTTGTGAATCAGTACATGTATGCACCTCAAGTTCAGCACTGGGAAGCTATTGAGAGAATACTTGCATATCTGAAAAATCTCCCTGGAAAAGGCATTCTTTTCTCAAATCATGAGAATCTGAAGCTAGAATCCTATACAGATGCAGATTGGGTAGGATGCTTAGATGACATGAGGCCTACATTAGGAGTGTGTACCTTTGTAGGTGGAAACTTGATCTCCTGGAAGAGTAAGAAGCAAGCGGTTGTGGCAAGGTCAAGTGCAGAGGCTAAGTATAGATCCATGGCTCATGGTGTCTCAGAACTTCTTTGGGTTAGATCTCTTTTGAGTGAGATTGGGATAAAATCAGAGGAACCTATGATGTTATACTGTGACAATCAGGCTGCAATCAATATTGCCCACAATCCAATTCAGCATGATAGGACAAATCACATTGAAGTTGATAGACACTTTATAAGAGAAAGGTTAACAACTGGAGAAATTTATTTGCCTTATGTCTCTTCAAAGTTGTAGCTGGCTGATGTTCTCACTAAAGGGGTGGCAAAGAACAAGCTTGAACACGATCTATGCAAGTTGGGAATGTGTGACATTTACTCCCAACTTGAGGGGGAGTGTTGAAAATTAATCAGTTTTATGATGTTTTATGTTAGTTATTAGATAGGAGGTGGGGACCACAATAGATTTGTGAGTCCAAATTTTATTATGTTTTTGAGTGTTATATATGTTGTTTTATGTTTTGCCGCCCTATAAGGGCATAGTTGTCTTTGTACTATTCTATTATTTATTGTATAAATAGTAAGTGAAGGGGCGGCCAGATTATCTCTCTTTTCTTTTCAACTTCTCTTCTTCTCCTTCTCCTTCTCTCTTCAAGACACTACTTTTCTTTCATATTTTTTAATTCAATAGATCTTTACTATTGATCACTCTGCTTTTATGTCATATTGACCTCAGTCTTGGTAGCATTTTTTCATCAGGTACAGTAAGAGGGTGGCTCCTGAATAAGAATGCCCATTACAATCTGATTCCCCAGACTCAGGTAATCTTGAAGCTCCTAACAATCCTATTATTGTTTGTAACCTTGATCTTCCTATTCCATTTGGAAAGGGAAGAGGACATGTAGCAAGTATTCTATTACTGTGTCTTATGAGGCTCTCTCACTTTCCTATTGTGCCTATATTTCTGCCATCTCTTTTGTTTCCATCCCTCGCTGTGTTACAGAGGCAATGCAGTCCCCTGACTAGAAGGAAGCTATGAACCAAGAAATGGAGGCCCTAATAAAGAACCAGACTTGGGAGGTTGTTCCTTGCCCTAAAGATAAGATTCCTGTTGGGTATAAGTGGGTTTATACTATTAAGTACAAGGCAGATGACTCGATTGAGAGGTACAAAGCTCGACTTGTAGCCAAAGGATACACTCAAGCTTATGGCATTGATTATCTAGAAACCTTTGCTCCAGTTGCTAAAATGAACTCTATTCGTGTGATCCTGTCTCTTGCTGCCCATTACTCTTGGCCTTTATATCAAATGGATGTAAAGAATGCCTTCCTTAATGGGGACTTACAAGAGGAAGTGTATATGGACTTACCACCTAGGGTAAGCTTTCCTAATAGTGATGGAAAAGTCTGCCACCTGAAGAAGTCCATGTATGGGCTCAAACAGTCCCTGAGAGACTGGTTTGACAAGTTCGAAAATGCTATCTTGAAGATTGGGTTTGCTCAATCTTAGGCTGACCACACCTTATTCATTAGAAGAGTTCATGGTAGAGTAACAATGTGATAGTATATGTTGATGACATTGTTGTGATAGGTGATGATATCACAAGTATCTCTCAATTAAAGTCCTTCCTCGCTTCTAAATTTAAGATTAAATACCTTTGGTGATCTCTGATATTTTCTTGGTATTGAAATTGCAAGATCCAATAAGGGAATTTTTTTTGTCACAAAGGAAGTATGTACTTGATTTGCTTTAAGAAGTTGGGAAATTAGGGTGTAAGCCTACAAAAATTCCAATTGATCCTAAACACAAGTTGAGTTCCACTAAAGAAGTCTTCTAGACAGGGGGATATATCAGAGATTGGTAGGCCGCCTTCTGTATCTCTACTTGACTAGACCAGAGTACCAGACATATACTATGCTGTTGGAGTGGTTAGCCAATATATGTATGAACCAAGAACATCTCATATGTAGGCAGTTAATAGAACTTTAGCATACCTGAAAGGATGCCCTAGAAAAGGGATGTTGTATTCCAATTACGACCATCTAAAGATTGAGGCTTACACAGATGCTGATTGGGCAGGGTCCATTGATGATAGAAGGTTTACATCTAGTTATTGTGCCTTAGTGGAAGGTAACGTGGTTTCTTGGAGAAGTAAGAAACAATCTATGGTTGCTCATTCTAGTGTTGAGGCAGAGTACAGGGCAATGGTTGATGGAGTGTCTGAACTACTCTGGTTGAAGACCTTATTGACTGAGATAGGCATCCAAGTAGATATCCCAATGAGACTATATTGTGATGATAAAACAGCCATAAATATTGTCCACAATCCTGACCAACATGATCATACAAAGCATATTGAGGTGGATAGACACTTCATTAGAGAAAAGGTTGCTAGCGGAGAGATTTGCCTTCCTTTTATAAGGTCGGAAGACCAACTAGCTGATTGCCTTACTAAAGGTGTCCACCATCCAAAGTTTGCTAAGAACCTTGACAAGCTGGGCATGATTGACATATATGCTCAGCTTGAGGGGGAGTGTTGAGATTGCTTAGACAGGGGTGTTTTTGGACCTTTTTCTCCTCCTTGTACTCTTTTTGTATTTGGGCGTCCAAGTAGGGGCTTCCTTGTAATTTACTATTTTCAAAGTATAAAGATTTTTTGAGGGTGTGAACACTAACAAGAACACACCTCTCCACACATCTCTTCTTCTTCTTCTTCTCTCCTCTTGCTTTCTCTATTCTAAACCCTAGTTTTAACTTTTGTTTGTCAACTATATATTATATACATATTAAAATATATTATGTTTTACATATTAATAACATATATTATATTATGTATATAATAAATTTCGGTTAATTTGGTTAACTAAATTTCCAATCCTAAAAACCAAAATTTTTTAAAACCGAATTAACCGAACCAAACAAACCGAAACCGAAAATTTTGGTTCGGTTTTTCGATTTTAACCAAACAATGCTCACCCCTAAATATAGGCACCATATTGGTAATTCTCTAATCATCATGCATACTCATATCTTTTACTATCTTATTAAATAACTTAGACATAACAAGCATACCTCTCCCATACCTTTTCACACTTTTATTGGAATCTCATTAGGTTCTAACACCTTTCCCTTCATCATATGTAGTGGCTCTTTTACTGTAGTAGGTCTAGCTCTACGGAGGTACATTATATTTTTAACCCTTAATATTGTTAGATTTCCTCCATTAGCATCCTCTCCCTACTGTTAATTTAATAATCTTTCAAAATAGTTTTTCCATTTTTCATTGATTTCCTCATCTTTTACCAAGACTCTATGATCCTCATCTTTAATGCACCTAACATGGTTTAAATCTCTGCCTTTCCTTTCTCTCAGCTTTGCTAGTTTATACATTCCTTTTTCTCCCTCTTCAGTTCCTAATTTCTGATGAAGCTCATCATAAGATCTACATTTTTCTTCTTTCACTTTCATTTTAACTCCCTTATGGTTTTATATTTTTTTCATTTTTTCCAAATTCTGTAATTTTTAGATTTTTTCCTTTCTTTGTAACATGTTCGTTTTAATCTGATTATATTTTGAACCTCTTCATTTGACCACCAAGTTTCTTTAGTACTTTACCTTTCCCCTTTAAATTTTCCTAAGACATCCTTTGCTACTTTCATTATGTTGTTTGCCATTTCGAGCCAAATATCATTAATCTTTCCATCTAAATTCTAATACCCTTCTATTATCAACTTGTTTTTAAATTGTGCGAGCTTTTTTTTCTTTTAGGTTTTCCTACCTAACTCTTGGACACCTATTTTATTCCCTTTCTCTTCCATTTCTTAATGCACACATCTACCACTATTAATCTATGTTGTGTTGTTAAGCTTTCTCCTAGAACAACTTTTCAATCTTTAAACATCATTCGTTCTGTTTTCCTAGTAAGGAAAAAATTTATTTTTGTTTGATCCACTTCAAAGGTCATTAAGTGTTYATACTTCTTTTGGAAATAGGTGTTTAAAATTTCCAACTCTGTTAACATGGAATCTTATTTTATTTTTCATGTAGCCTACACTATGAGTCTATTTTGAGTTGTATTTCTTGTAGGATGGGAGTAATGTGGGCCAACTCTGCTTGGTCATTGATCATAACATGAAATTCTGGACTGTTAGATAAGCACTTAAGCAGTGCATTGGTGCTAGTTCTGAGCTCCCAACAAATGTTGGGATCTATTCCTTTTGCCCTTTTATTGTCCATTTTCATCTCTAGTGTTTTCTCCTAACTRTCAAGGTTCCTCCCAATTTTATGACTCTTTTACGTTTTACATGTTTTATTTTTTCTTTCTTCTGCACACCGAAGTTTATGATATGAGAAATCAACTGACACAAGTTTATGATCTATGAGAAATCAACTGAAATTTAGGTGTTGTTTTCTTTTAGTTCAACATTTGTTTTTCTTTTCCTTTTGTTTGCAGAATCAAGATAACATTGAACGTATGGCTTACTGGCTGTCAACTACCTCTTCCCTGTTGTTCCTTCTACAACGCAGTTTAAAAACTAGTGGTAGCACAAGTGTTTCAACTCCACGCCGGAAACCTCCCCCTCCAACATCATTATTTGGGAGGATGACTCAAGTAATTGGACACCTCTACTTCTTTTCGTATCTTCTTATTAGATTGATTCCATCCTTAATTGAGTGAAGGAGAACTAGAGACTTGACTTAGAAATCATCTCTTACATTATGTATAATGATCTTGATTTTTATCAGGGCTTCCGCTTGTCTTCTGCACAACTTGCTGTAGGTTTAGATGTTGTACGCCAAGTTGAGGCCAAATACCCAGCATTGCTGTTCAAGCAGCAGCTGACAGCATATGTGGAGAAGATATATGGAATTATTAGAGACAATGTGAAGAAAGAATTGGGATCACTACTTTCCCAATGCATCCAGGTTTTTTTTTAACTTCAGATTTCCATTGTCTATATATAGCTTTCCTTTCAGAAAAGATTTTTTTCAGATGTCTTGGTCAAGGACCTCTGTGAAGAATAACACTTGCTTTTCAAAAATTTCATATTAGTATAGAAAGCATACTTCTATGTTTTAAACTGAATTCTATAAACTTGCTTTTAGGAATTCTGAAAATAACATGCCTTTTGATTCTGTATACGAGTAATTGGAATTTCTGTGAGAATGCTATGGATGCTTGTCTTTATTAGGTCTGGGCATAGCAATTTATACACTGTTACTGTGCTAACTGAAATGTAGGTACCAAGAGCATCAAGGGGAGCTATGTTGCGACCTGGGCAATCATTTGACAATAATTCTCCAACTGATCACTGGCAGAACATTATTGAGAGCCTCAACGCACTTCTCAATACATTGAAAGAAAATTTTGTATGGGATTCTGTTTATTCTTGTTCTTGCCCTGGTTCTTTCTTGTTGATGCATGAATACTTATGGTTGACCTTATTTCAGGTTCCTCCAATTCTCATTCAGAAGATGTTTGCTCAGACTTTCTCATATATAAATGTACAGCTCTTTAACAGGTACTTTGCAATGTTGGATCCACTTTTTTCTTATTACTATTTGTCAAAAAAAAACAAGAAAATCCTAGTAATGTAGAGAATCAAAATAATGATGTGAGTTACTTATTTTTGTTACTCCAGTTTTTTACTACGCCGAGAGTGTTGCACATTCAGCAATGGGGAATATGTGAAATCTGGGTTAGAGGAACTGGAGCTATGGTGTTCCGAAGCAAAGGAAGAGGTAATTGAGTGTGATTTTATGATCAGTCATCTTCTCCCCCCTTCCTTTTATGCCTTTCATTGGCCTCGATGAGGAGGAAAGAAATAGAATCCAAAAAATACAAGTAAGCCTTCTTTAGATCAACAGAATCTCATGAGTGTTATCTTCATGTAGAAGACTATAGTTGGTAACCTTCAGTACCATGGACCGGTGCATACTTACCATCACAAAGTGATTATACTTGAATCTCTTAAGAATGGTGGATTGAATAAATAACTTCTTTACTTAACAACTTCTTTCAATTAGTAGGAACTAGTCCCTCCCATCATTAGCTAATCTTCAAATGTATCTAATGACCACCAAAAGTCTCAATGAGGACTTAGGATCAACTCGTAGGGAGGTAGGGAACGTGCAAGGAAGAAGAGGATCAGAGGGCCTAGGGTGATATCCTGGGCTTAAGTCTCCGACGAGCAAGTTAGTAATGGCCGACCTGTCCAAGGTGTATTAGGTAGCAGTAAATGCGTTCAAGAAGTGTGTAATGAATGCAAAACTAACCTTTATCTAGATTGGGGATGCTCGTGCCAGTCTGTACATGTCAGAGATGAGCAAGACACCTGTAAGTAGAAACACTTGGAAGTGAAGTGGAACACATTTAGGTGACTCATATGCCACGTTAATCACACGTGGAGGAAGCCCAGGGCCTACTAGCTAACAAGATGGGTAGGTGTGATGACTGCATTGCCAGGTGGTTGTCTTACCGTAAACGTAGTAAAGCTCGGGTTTGTTTCTCCTGAGTTAGCTCATCTCGGCGAAGTGTGCTTTCTTACTCATGTGGATCAGCTTGTAAGCCAATCTGCCCTTTGCTACTACTGATAGGGTAGTTCCGACTGGGTTTGGTAAGTTCCAGATCATCCAAGGTTAGAGTTGGATGTTCGAGGTGAGTATCGGTCCATCAAGGTCGCCATGGGTCTTGATCTTATTGGGGGTTACTTCCACCCCCATTAGTATCCTTATAAACTCTATTAATGGTAGACCATGAAATAACAATCTTTTTATATTGTGTATAAATATATAGAACTAATATGATCCAAGGCTAGGCTGATAACACTTGGCCCTTTTATAATAGTCCTTATAAACTCCATTTAAGCTTTACATGAGAATGGCAGTTGGGACCTTGTTCCAGCTCCTTTTTATGGCTCTACCATTGGGAGTAAGTGGGTTTATTCTATCATGTTGAAGTCTAATGGCTCCTTAGATCGATACAAAGCTTGTCTTATGGCTCAGGGTTATAAACAAGAGTATGGCATTGATTACGAGGAGACATTGTTCCCATTGCCAAGATCACTACAGTTCATGTCCTTTTAGCCCTCTCTTTTGTGCACTCTTGGTCTATCTATCAATTAGATGTGAAAAATGTCTTTCTACATGGACATTTAAAGGAAACAGTTTACATGAAATCCCCTCTTGTGTATTGTAGTGATCCATCTCTTGTCTGTCGCCTAAAGAAATCTCTTTGTGGGCTAAAACAAGCTCCTCGGACATGGTTTGAGAAATTCCGAGATGTTGTTGTGGATGTTGGGTATAGTCAGAGTGATTCCAATCATTCTCTCTTTGTTCGAAAAAGGCCTTAGGGTATTATAATTCTCCTCTTGTATGTGGACGACATGTTGACTGGAGATGATGTAGAAGGACTTGGGTCCTTCTTCACAGATCCTTTCACCTGAAGACCTCAAGTCTTCACAGATCCTTTCACATGAAGGACTTGGGTCCTCTCACCTATTTCTAAGGACTTGAAGTCCAAAGAATCATCAAGGATAATAAGCAAGTTGATTCTCCCTTGGAGCTCAATATTAAATTATCCAAGTCAAAAGGACCCTTGCTCACTGATGCCTCTATCTATCATCAACTAATGGGGTTCAAACTATGACTCGACCTAACATCTCTCATGCGGTTTAGGTTGTCAGTTAGTATGTATCTCCTCATCCTCTCCTATCCATTTGATGGCCTATGCTGATTGGGCAGGTTGTTCCGATACTCATCACTCCATTACTGGGTGGTGTGTTTTCATGGGTGATTCTCTTATATCATGGAAATACAAGAAACAAAAAACTGTCTCCAAGTCTTCCACAGAAGTTGAATATAGAGAAATGTTGTCGGTGTGCAGTAAAATTGTGGGACTTAAATCCCTACTTTGGTCATCCTATCTCTGCACCTGTCCCTCTGCATGTAGACAATGCTAGTGCTATAAAGATTTCTTCTAACCCTGCCTTTCATGAAAGGATGAAGAACATTGAGGTGGATTGTCACTTTATTCGAGACTTGTTTCTTGTTGGCTCTATATCCTTTCCTCATGTGGCCTCAAATATGCAAATTGTTGACATCTTCACCAAGGCCATGACGAGATCCAAATATCTATTTCTTATGGGCAAACTGATGCTAAGCACACACATCAGTTTGAGGGGGAGTGTGAAGAATCCTGATGTTGTACCTTATTTCTATAATCCTTGTTGTACAGTATCATGTATTCCTTCTTTCTTATTTTCTCCTCTTTGCCCCACATGGGCCTTTCTATAAGTACTATATTTCATACATACATACATGCATACATATATATATTGACTCTCTAGGGTGGGGTCGACAGATTTTTGTTTTCACCCTAAACTGGTTGTTTTCTCTTGTTTGAATTGGTTGTGTGACAAATATTGAGGAGTCAACTTGTGGATTTTTTCCATTAAGGACTTCACCCCAAATGCAACCCTCACTTGTTCTCTTGTTTTCACCCTAAACTGCTCTCTTGTTTGAACTGGTTGGATTTTCAACCCAAACGCAACCCTCACCTGTTCTCACATGCTCTGTACCTATGACACCACTAAGGACTTTTTCCATTACAAAATGACAATATACCTCTATGTGTTTAGTCCTCTCATGAAAAACTGGATTGGATGAGATGTGAATTGCAACTTGGTTGTCATGGTATAGTTTCATGGGTTTGTTTATTGAGAACCCAACTTCCTGCAAAAGATTTTTCAACCACACTAGTTCACGTGTAGTGTATGCCATGGTCTTGTATTCTGCTTCAACACTACTCCTTGCTACAATAGTTTGCTTCTTGCTCTTCCATGTCACTAGATTTCCTCCAAGAAAGGTGCAATAACTTGTATTGGATCACTTGTCAGACACTGAACCTGCCCAATCTGCATTTGTATAGCCAACTATTTCGAGACTTCCTCTTGGCTTGTACAATAATCCACGGCCTAGAGCCCCCTTCAAATACCACACAATTCTAAGTACTGCATCCCAGTGTGGAACTCGAGGGCTTTGCATGAATTTTCTTACCACACTAACGGCCTGGAGCCCCCTAATAGTCTTATTTCTTCCAATAGGTCAAGAGCATATTTCCTCTAACACAAGTTTATACCTTGCTTCGATTTGGCAACTTCTATACCCAAAAAATAATTCAACTTCCCAAGATCCTTTTTTTTGGTAGTGATCTTGTAGAAAGACCTTCAGTCTATCAATCCCAAGTCTTTCATTGCCAGTTATACCTATGTCATCCACATAAACCACTACCAAAATCTTCCCAGCTTTAGAATCATAACTGAACACTAAGTGGTCAACTTGACATTGTCTCATTCCGAACTCTTTCACTACTTCACTAAACTTGCCAAACCAAGCACGAGGGGATTGTTTGAGCACATAAATTACCTTCTTGAACTTACACACCTTACCATCCTCCCCCTGAGCAACAAACCCTGGTGGTTGCTCCATGCACGCTTCCTCTAGAAGATCTCCATGGAGGATGGCATTTTTAATGTCAAGCTGAAACAAGGGCCAATCATATATAACTGCTAATGAAATCAAAACACGGATTGAACCAATCTTTGCAACAGGAGAAAAAGTTTCCACATAATCTACACCATATAATTGAGAATATCATTTGGTAACCAATTGGGCTTTCAACCGTTCCACTCTCCCATCTAGTAGATATTTAACAGTATACACCCATTTACAACCAACAATATGCTTACCTAGAGGAAGATTGGTGAGTTCCCACCTGTGATTGTGTTGAAGTGCAGAGAGTTCCTCTTCCATAGCTTGACGCCACCCTAGTGAGGTAAGAGCCTCCTGGACATTCTTAGGTGCATACACAAATGATAACAGAGAAACAAATTGGCGATGTGAAGCGGAAAGGTGAGAGACAGAAACATAATTGGATATAGGATGCAAAGTACAATTGCATTTATCTTTCCACAATGCAATAAGTGGATAACATCAGAAGGAGTAGGCAACACTGGTGTAGAAGAAACTGGATCTACTAACAAAGTTGAAGCTGGAGGAGGTGCTAGTGTTTGTCAGTGAGTATACACTTGCCAAATTGGTAGTCGTTCAGTATGACTCTGCATTGGAGGAGGTGGAGACTTGGTCACAACAGGAACAATAGGAATGGGATCATTAATTAGAAGAGGAAGAGGGACCATTCTAGGAGAGAGAGACATATCAGGACCTAAGAACAATGGGACAAACTCGAAAAATGTAACATCAGGGCAAACAAATGACATCCGAGTAATGGGATTTACACCCTTTTCTGAGTCCTAGAGTAGCCAAGGAAGATACACTTAGTCAAGCATGCATCCAACTTGTCTAAACTAGCACCCAGATTATGAACAAAGCACACACACCTGAAGATCCTGGGAGTCAAGGGATATGGAGATAGAGTGGGAAACAAAATAGAAAACGGAGAACGACCGCCAAGAATGAATAAAGGCATGTGATTAACGAGGAAACTAGTTGTAAGCACTGCATCACTCCAAAAACGATTAGGAACATTCATATGATGAAGAAGGGACCGAGTTGTTTTAAGTAAATGCCAGCTCTTCCTCTCAACCACCCCATTTTGTTGGGGGGGTGGATGCACAGAAAGTCTGATAAATAATGGCATGTTGCTCCAAATATTGCTAAAATGAAGTAAGGAAATACTACCTATCATTGTTTGAACGAAGAATTTTAATTGGAACACCAAA